ACCAATCAATCAATCAAGCAACGAACCAATCAATCAATCAAGCAACGAACCAATCAATCAAGCAACGAACCAATCAATCAATATATAAAATTCAGTAATCATATCAATCAATCGATCAATCAATCAGTCTGTCAGTTAATCACCTTATAAAAAATCAATAAACTAAGTAACGAGGTAACTAAACGTAACTACGATTCCCCAAGTCAATTTTGTTTTATCTTTACCTTTGCAAACCTGATTGAATATTTGATCTGGCAAGGTTTCTCCTGTTTTGTAATGTCCACTCACAAGGTCAACGGTCGCTCTGTTGTACATCCAATTTTCCATAAATTGAGATGGAAGTTCCACCTAAAAAAACATAACCATAAAATAAGCTGCTTTTGTTGATGATGATGTTGTTGTTGTTCCTGTTGTGGTAAATGTTGCTGTTACTGCTGATAATGTTGTTATCGATGTTGTTTATGTTGTTGTTGTAGTTGATCACGTTGTTGCTGATGATGATGTTGTTGTTGTTCCTGTTGTGGTAAATGTTGCTGTTACTGCTGATAATGTTGTTATTGATGTTGTTGTTGTAGTTGATCATGTTGTTGTTGTCGATGATGATGGAATTGTAGGATCTTACTGCATATTAACAATATTTATCAAATTGATCAACTTTGCATCTTGCTTTGATCTTACTGCATATTAACAATACTTATCAAATTTATCAACTTTGCAATTCGTTAACTTTCTATTCTTGTCATTGTTGTTGTTGTTGTTGTTGTTATTGTTGCTTTTACAGTCGTTGTTGTTGTAAGAAGCAATTTAACTCTGGGCTTCAGAGTTATACTCACAGCATCCCACTCAACATTATTGATTCCTGCTGCATCAGAGTACGGTACTGTAGTCAGCATGTGTTGCAGTCCATGACCAAACTGTGAAGGAAAGGGAGGGGAGGGTAAGGCACACGTGTGTGATTACGATTCTTGCTGCAAAGGTCCCGTCCAATAGGTTAAGCGTTTTTCTGATTTTCGAGTGCACTTGAAAGCGAGTTTACAAATCAAAGGTTTTGCAAGGATTTCGAGGAATAGCACGAACACTTACTTTACTGGTCAGGGAAGGGGTCGAACACTACCGTCAGAACGAAGCTTGTGATTGATCGAGAAAACAGAAACAAAGAATTGTGGGATCATGTCAAAATATGCTTATTGTTCTACTGAACATGCATCTTCGTTTTTTTATTGCCTGTCTCTCTTTGTTATTTCATCAAATCAAAACCTTTGTTCTGACAGTAGTGTACACCCAGGGGAGCCCGTGATTGGAGTCTCACCTCATGAAAGAGAGTTTCCACATCTCTGAATGTCATTAGTGATGGAGTACCATCATGCTTGTTTGGTGGAGATTGATTACATACAAGGTAAGCCACTGGTATTCTATTGGTCAGGTGACTTTTACCTATATAACAAACAACATTTACATCTGTTGCGCAATGTCCAAAAAATTTAAGCATCAAATAATTCTTTAGTCTGAGGCACCAAACGCTCCAAGGCATCCACTAAAGGCCCGTTCATACGACTTTTGCAATGCGATTCTCGCGGCGATCGTCGCGCGACCATCGCCTGAGTTTCGAACATGCTTGAAAATTGGCTGCAACTTCGCGGTGATTTTCCATCGTCGCAACAATCGCTTGGCTGTTTACACATACGATTTGAGTTGCGCGATAGCAAAGTGGCGATTATCGCCATGCAAAAATCGAAATTGTAAACGGGCCTTTACACTGCAATTTGACATGGTTTACCTGTACACTCATCAAACCACGCTCCACCCCTTTTCTCTGCTGGTCTTGAGTAGGGATCCAAATAAAAAGAAGCCAGGTGTTCACCTGCACACAAAATAGATAACCAAAGCTCAAAACTTCATTTATTCATTCGTTACTGACGCATAGCACCACAACAGAGGGACTGTCACTCAATTCTGTCTGTGACGGTCAGAACTGAATCCCTCCGGGAGGAGCTACGTTTGTTGTATCAATAGAGAACTTAATCATGAACACTTTTTTAGGCGCCAACGTCCATCGGAAGTAAAATTTTAATTCCGGTTTGCGTCAAAATTTTAATTGGAGCGCATGGAAGTGCGTGCGTCCGTACATGACAATGGCAGATTTCATGTCCGCTCGTACGCACTTCGAGGTGCGCCAAAATTTTATCGCAAATCGGAAATAAAAGTTCACTTCCGACTGACATCGGCGCCTCAAAAACTATGGATGATTAAGTTCTCTAATAACGAAACGGTAGTGGTAAAGTTAATGACAGACATTAGAAAGCATTGAAGCAAAAGAGAAAACGTTTATAGAAAGATCATTTTATATACATAATTTGTATGCAAAAGTTCTAAGACTCATCAATAGTTTGTGAGCTTTTAGTCGAATAGTAATTGATTGGTTGATTCCAAGAGACATTTTCCGAAAAAGCGCTGCCGCTCCAAAAATTGCTGCCGGTCGTACCTGAATCATTGTAGATTTTAAAGAATCTGACGTCTTCATGCCATACATCGGTTTCTCCATCCGCAGACTGTAATATAAACAATTATTGGTTGAGGCTAAGTATGCTACGACAAATTATTGATTGAGCCTAAGTATGATATGAAGAATGATCAAGAATGATTGGTTATGGCTGAGTATGATAGGAACAATGATGTATAAAGGCTGAATATGATATGAAGAGTTATTGGTTATGGCTGAGTATGATACGAACAATGATTTATTTCAAAGGTTGAGAATGATATGAAAAAATATTGGATGAGATTGAGTATAATATGAAGAATTATTGATTGAGGCTGAGTATGATATGAAGAATTATTGGTTATGTCTGAGTATGATATGAACAATGATTTATTTCAAAGGTTGAGAATGATATGAAAAAATATTGGATGAGATTGAGTATAATATGAAGAATTATTGATTGAGGCTGAGTATGATAYAAGAATCATACGCACAGAGATGAATGAATGTCCAGGAGGTGACTGCGAAGTAATAGAATACCCTGCATTTAAGCAGCCTTTAAGATCAATAATTATTACTAAATGATTCCAAATAAACAAAAATTATAATGACAACAATATGTACTTGAAAAAGTAAACCTGGTACCTGAATGGTAATCCCAAACAATTGTTTGCTAAACTTGAATAGACCATCAAGAACCCTGAAAATAAGTGAATCATAAACAAATTAAAGTATGAGGTGTGACACAAAGAAAATTGATACACAGCAAAATTTATTGTTACTTTTACATGACAAAAACAAACCTTGGTAGGGGGAAGTAAGGTCTTAGTAACTCATCACTAAAACTGTTGATAGCAAAGAGCATAATGATTATAAACTCTTTCAATGGATTATTGTGTTCTATAATATTTCAGACTGCTTAACATTTGGTACAGCTTTAGTCAATGGTCTCCTTCAAGGTTCCCTACCCTATCTTGAAAGGCAGCTGTGCCTTTACATCGAAGGGAGATGGCCATTGAGTATGCAAAAATAGGTAATAATTGTCTGTAGGTGTGAAAGGTTTCTATCATTGCATGTTAAACAGTTGTGTCACTTAGATGTAAAGGCAAGGCCACTTTTCAAAATGGCGCCAGGAACCGTGAAGGAGACTATTAATTGACCAAGGCAACTAAAAGGAAGATGAAGTACCTAAAAAGGTGTTGACGTTGTTTTTCAGCCCAGTATGAAACATCCCACAACTTAATTTCATCACTAAAGCCATTCTGTGATGCAAATAACTAAAAGAAAATATGAATTTTAAAATTTCTATCATTAATTGCTAATAACCAGCTTAGATTGTGAATTAAGGCAACAGCAGGGCTGAAGGAAACACTAGAGAAAGTGTTCATCTGTTATTTTGCTTTCTCCATCAATTCTTTCTATCTTCAAGTTCACAACTTCCTTTCCTTTTTTCATTTTTTTCACACAAGCATATTTAAGTAACTTACTCATTTTCTACCTCTGCACACTTTCCTAATGAAAATAGTCCTTTATTAATACCTTCAGATCATCAATTTCTTTAATTGCAGCATTCTTGCTTTTATTTTTGAGTTCATTGATAAGTTTCCACACTTCAGATGCACGGCCAGCCATTTTGGATTCCAGAGACAAGCTGGCATAGTCCTTAAAGCCAAGCAAAGATGATTTCTCTTTCCTGAGTTGTCGTATTTCTTCAATTATGTCACTGTTATCCGTCTCTCCACTGGATGCTCGGGTGATGTAAGACTTATACATTTGCTGTCGTAATTTTCGGTTTTCACTGTTGAGAAATTGGAAAAAAGAATGCTTAAATCTCCCCTGGATGTTTTAGTTAAACAATAGAGTAGGGTATTAATGCTGTATTAGTTTCCGATGAAAACTGGATGTCAGAAAAACAAATAGTCAAAAAAATAAGGAATCAAAGGGAAGAAAGATAAATTACACTTACCTATATTGCATAAAAGGTTGAAAACATGGTATATCTAAGGTCAATTTCCAAGGGCCTTCTTTGTAATTGACATCACTAAAACAGAACAAGGTTGTGTTAAGCTAACTACTACAATATGAGCCCATGCAGTTCACAATAGTGCATCTCAATCTGGTTCAGTTCACAATAATGGATCTTGGATTGAAATCAAATGTCACCAAAATAAAGATGCTTAATACCTCCTGTTGTTGTCAGCAGCTGCCACAGAAGCTGTAAGCTGTAATAAGGAATCTGGCAAACCCTTCATCTGGTCAGGATCAGTTACTAAAATCGAGAACTTTTTCACAGAATCCAAAACATTATTGCTGCAAAAGAAATAAAATGTACATGTACATCTTAAAATTTAAGGCCATTTCATCTTAAACTTTAGCTCATTACTCTATGTCCAGATTAAGTTTAATGATGCTTCCTTACAGCAAGAACATTGGGATCACTTGTGTTGTTTTCACATGATAGAGCACTGATGAATAAAACATCAGCATTTTTAATGTACATACTGCTGTATTCTAAATATCACCTGAATTTAGTTGAAAGTTCTGCTGATCTGAGTTTTATCTCATTGAACCTCTCTTTTTCTTTTCCTTCTAATCCAACCCCACCATTTCTTGAGGAACGTAAAAATGATGTCACTATTCTTTGTTGGCCCTCTTCAAGAGCAGATGAATTATCATTTAATTTCTAAAACAAAAGATATAAGTTAACTGTGGTTTGTCTGGTATTGTAGTGACAAAAACAAGTTAACTGACATCCTTTACTATATAGTCTTTGTAAATTGGTTCCTAACCCTCCCCCTTACAGGTAAAATTCCACCCATGTGGGGAGGGTTGGGAATGGATGTAGAGATATCCCTATAAGGGTAAAAGAAATATATAAGGAATGGCATCAGTTATTTAGAAATACTAGAGTTAATTGGGTTTGCAACCAATAATTCTGTTAATCACTGGAGGGCAGACTGTTTTGAAGTGGCGGAAGATGGAGAGAGTGAGGTTTAGTGTTAGTCAAGAAACAGTAGAATTTATCAACATAATGCTAGCAGACTTGCAAATTTCATCTCCGTAGTCACGCACAAAGGAATCAAGACAATGCACCATACATAAATCTCAATCACTTGTAAAAAAAAACTTTTGTCCTTTTATAAACTGAGCTTCATGCATGGCACCTTGTCTTGGATTCTTTTTGTGTGACTTCTGAAGCTTTTGAAATGTACCCCAAGAAGTTATAGAATTCCTTACAGTGACTACAAATTTAAAATACAAATAACCACAATTGTCCACCTGGAAAGATGAATATAATGGCTTGCTTTGTGAAACAAGAGTTGACACCTTGATAACAGAAGGTTGAACCTGTTGAATTGGTTTTTATTGAAATTAAATGATATTGCAAAAAGTGAATAAAACAATATAGCAAATAAACAAGTAAATTATATATGCAAAAATTAATATGGAACAAAGATATGTATGAGTGAACKAAGTAAATGTATGAACTCATGAAATCAAAATCGATAAATAATTTGAGCAACAATATTTTTTATCAAGTACATGTTTACCTTTTGGTAGGCATTTCTGAGATCATCATTATTTTTCACTCCATTCAAATGAGTCACTGCACTCCAAGCATATTCAAGCCTGCTGTTTAACAATTCTAGAGGTTCAACCACAGTCGTCCAATCCACACTTCTATCAGTAAAACCTAAGAGAAGTAAAGTAGGAGATTATGAGGAGATATACTTGTATGTAGGCGTCAGACCACAGGGTTCCCAAAAACTGACAATAAACCAATAAACATCGTCGAAAAATGTCAACATTCAAAATTGCCCAATAAAAATCGGTACGTCAGAAGATCAAATAGTCAGAATTAACTTACTTTCAATTTTGGCTTCAAAATTCTGAAATTTATCAGTAAAATCACTAGTAAGAGTTTCCATAGCGGGAACAACGTGCGAAGAATCGATTTTTTCAAATTTTGGCAAGTCATCCTGCTCAAATAGTGGATTATAATCACTTGCTGTACAGATAGGTCTTTTAAGAATTCGTATCTGCGATAGCAGCGTGGAAAAATGAAAACAGCGCACTGAATTGGACCAAGAAGTTGAAAACCTCGGAAAAGCCAAAACTGCCGCCATTTTTATTAATGGTAATACCGCTGACAAACCATACTGCGGTCTCAAAACACACCATTTCGGGCCTTCTTCGGGCCTTTCTCAATTGCTTTCTGTGTGTGCCGGAATTGTATTCTGGTTAGGTTTCATTTTTCGGGGTATTGTTTAGATTCTGCTTCTATTCGCTCTGCATATATTAAAGCAGCGCATATAAGACGTGTAAACATGAATAAATTAACCACTTGGCTCAACTCTTTGACCAGAGCAGCACTCCCTAATATCAAAGGGCGGGGGTCCTCGGCGGAGATTGTGAAAATGACCCCTAAAAGGGAACTCTATTGTGAGATGATGGGCGTGGCAGTGCTGAAATTTCAACCCTAAAAGGGACCAATCAATAACAGGTCATTTTGTTTTGGTTTACCGATTTTATTTGTGTTTTTACACAATCATCGAACACCGTCGGCTCGTATTGAGTTCATGACGACGTTGCCATTTTATGACTGCTTAGGGTCGCCGTATACCCTAAAAGGGACCACAAAACACAGTTGGTAGGAATTCTTGTCATGATCACCCTAAGCGGGACCAAAATACTGATTTCAAACCCTAAAAGGGACGCCGAGGACCCCCGCCCTTTGATATTAGGGAGTCCCCCCCC